GTATTATTTATTTTATTTTTGTATGGACTACGGTGCACAGTTTGGTAACATCATGTCGTACTGTTGAGAATAGAATAAGTATTTTTGACAATCGCTTTACTTGGGGCCCCATGGTTATTTATACCTACAATGCAGGAAATTGTTTTTCTTTGTAACATAAAATCATATAAGTTTCGTGCAAACAGTTTTCGGTTTAAATGTTTAAAAAAAAAGTATCGTGTACCTATACAATTAATGCGCATATCATTGTGGGAAAAATCTTGATAATTTTATGGTCAAAAGTAGCTCACAAAAATATTGTATTTTATTTTATTTAATACTGTGTCTTCATTATTTTTGTGACTAAGCAGTGGCGGTTCTAGCGTGCGGGTAAAGTGGACAGTTGTCCGTGCCATTTTTTTTTTGTGGGTGTCTTGGGGATAAAAAAGTGTGGATTTAAGTTGCACCAGCAGCTCACTTAAAATTATACTTTTATCCGTTCGAAATTTGAGTCCCAAAACCGTCCCTGTGACAAGGTACATATATAGTAGGTACTAGGTAATAGAATATATTTAATGTTAATTCGTAAACACAGTAATAATAACTGGGCTATAATTTACTGGTTTATCGTATGACATTACATTATATTTAGTAGAGTGATTTCACAATTAGAGTTACACAATTATTGGGTTTGACACGTTAAACGTATGTTAATATTATATTAATGTTATAATATTATATTAATAAATTAATTAGTTGAACTCGCCTGAAATTCTACCTACTATTCTAGCGGAATATTTTAATTGTACTTTTGCTCGTTTTCAAATTATGTTGCAATTACATTTGTCCATAACAGGCAGCTGTACTCTGTAGTGTACTGACAGTAACTTCATTTTGTTTTTTTTTTCCAGACATTCGATGATCACACACGCGCAGTATGCACCTATTATAATGCAACGAAAATACGGTAGAGTGCGCACGGGTACGCGATACACAGGCCGCCCGTCATCCAACCCGCTTTGTTTGGCCAACGACCGAGGTATTATTGAAGTCACGCCTTAACACACCGCCCGTATGCTTGCACATGAAATGCTCCTCCCATAGGTTTCTTTTCGAACAAAACATACAGCTCGCTCGGTGTATGCTCTCACACACGATCGATTTATGTATTGCCTACATTTTATTCGTTGCGCTCTAAACCATAAAACTTCACACCAATTTGAAAATATAAAAAACATTTTTTTAGGTTTGTTGCGGTTTAAAAAAATATCATAGATGTATACCTAACAAGATTTTTTTTTGTACTCGAAGTCTTCAAATTTTAGTTGTTCATGTGTAAAAATTATTTAGAAATAGGTAGGTACGTTAAAAAATACCTAACATAAGTACCTATTGTCGGCTAGGGTCGGTAGGGTTGGTATCTATTGTCGCGCTTATATAATATGCTTACGTCAATTAAGTTAAGTTAAGTTAATCTGGATTAATTATGCATACAATTTTTTTTTTTTTACAAAAGTGTTTATTACATTAGTACTATACAATTGTATAAGTACTGATTTGGTAGTATTTGTTTCTGTTTTTGGTGTCTTTTTTTTTTGCGCCCTATATTACATGTTTACGCGTTAAAGTAAATCATACAAATAGCCCTAAAATATAATTCGCCCAGAGGTAGCTGCTCCCCTGCACCCACGGTAGCTACGCCACTACTTGTAGCTCACATAGAAACACATCAAATGATAAATTTACTAGGCCAAACTTTTTTCAAATTTAAAGCTATTAATTTACTGTGGAGTTTTACTTGTAAAAACGTTTTTTTATTAATTATTATACATATTTCGAATTATCTAAAAAAAAAAATGGTTTATAACAATTTTAAAATATAATTATGAAACGAAAAAACAAGCAATACCATCGAAATTGCTTTCTAAACCCAATAGAATATTCAGAGACAGCCAATACTATTTTTATGAACCAGCTAATTTATTTGTGGTGTGTAACAATTCTGATTACTGAAATACATAGCAAAGAAAAAAATTGTAAATACCTATTATCAGATTTACCGATTTTATTAATTAATTTATTATTGTGTAAATTAACATTTTTACGTTAGAATTCCATTGGCGTAGTCGTAAGGTCTAAGGGATATATAGGTACTTAGGATGATTCTGATTGACGTTTCGATGTTCAAAAACGTTAGTAAATACTATAACCTATATGAAAAACCCATTCGGTTGCAGCCATAATGCAAGTGTTATTTTTAACTTTTGGAATAAAAATGTATATTTTACATGTTTATACTGTACACGTTCAAATGACAAAATGCTCTAGACGACTGTCAACTAACTCGCGTCATGTTAACTGTATAATTGAAGACCTTGGGGCAACAACAAGACATGTCCTTTTTAAATTTTTTTTTTTTTTCAAAATGTTTTTAAACCCAAAAAAATTTTTTTTTTAAATATTTTAAACAATTTTTTTTTTTAAATTTAAAACGTTTTGAAAAAAAAAAATGTTTAGAGTATTTTGAAAAAAATTTTTGGGTTTAAAAACATTTTGAAAAAAAAAAATTAAAAAAAAGGACATGTCTTGTTGTTGCCCCAAGGTCTTCAATTGAGAATCAGAAATCAAATATATTGTTAAGTTAAAAACCGCAATAACAGGACCTCCCCTCTCCCCCTCCCCATAACCCTATACAAATAACCAGAGACTATGCTACTACGACAAGTAGCCCCACTATTTTTCCCGCTAAGATAGCCGACTTGGAGACTAGGTTCCATGCCGCTATCTTAGATAACCTGTACTGCGCCATATTACTCTCATGGGAATACGCCACAGGTACAACCAGGGTGGTGGCTATAGTAGTTTTAATGTGACGCACTGTAGGACTTAAGTCATTCTGCCTAGTAAGAAAAAAAAATACCGTTCAATACATCGTGGTGATAAGATATCAATGGTAATAGTATCTTGAAAAAAAACAAAAATATTTTAAGATATGTGGTAAATTTATTTTTTATCATATAGAGTAACAAACTTAACAATGTGGACTTTTTTTCATTTATGTGGCCATACTGATTTTAGTCCTACTATTTACTTCACTAATGAATACAAGCTAGCATATTATATGCACTTACATCATGTAACAGTTGTTACAGAAATATTGTAAGGACTAAGGGCCCTTTGGACTACTAGGTTCCAGACCCGGTAAACTCTTAATCCGGTCCTGCTTACATGCATTGAAGGGTTAATTACGATTCTCCGTTATATTTTAACATAATTACTTATAGAAATATAAATTACTTACAGAGTTCGCTCTAAATTTTTTAATATCTTATTGCAATACACAAAACTCAGATTTATTAAAAAATGTTGTCATTATTATTATTATTGATTGATATAAATACAAATAACAACAAATATTTCTCTTAGAATGGGTAGAAGAGTAGGAAACGTTTCCGTAATTTGCTTTTTAAGTATAGTTTTAGAAACTAAGGTTTGAAAATTATAATAGAGGTATCTCACGTGACTCTATAATATAGAATTACATAATGATTTTAAAAAACTGTAATGACATAAAATTTATTAAGAAAAAAAAAATCCTATGTCGTAAGTTTAGGGTAGAAATTATTTTTTATGTTTTATCACAGTATTCTAAAATCATTACTTCACGAATAAAATTGAATAAAATCTAAATGTTTGGAGAGTGAAAATAACTATTATTAGCATCTTTCTTAGATCATTGATTAATGACCCCAAAAGTTATAACATTGACCTCCAGATTACCTTTTATTAGAATTGGTTGTTTAAATAATTGCCTAACTTCGTCTCCAAATACTAAAGGCTAGGAAGGCCCGTGAAATGACATGATTAACAGTAAAACATAATATACCTAATACGTCTACTGCGGATGAACATTATTTCTTATTGTGGTCTGTGAAGATAAGTAATTTGTTTTCCGAGTCGGCAGCTCATGTCATTCGTGAATAATAGTAACGGTTATGTTGACATGTAATTTACAATTTTTATTCCGGCGTGGCGCACGAATTAGTCACATTTCGTTTATCCTATGTAATTTATCTGTGAGTCGATATATGATTAGGTTAATAATTTATACATGTGTTTGAAGAGGATATACTGGGTGTAATGATTAGGAGTAATATTATGTTTAATTGTTTAACCATTCCATACAATATTCTTATTGTAGATATTAATTATTATTAGATTGATGCGCGTTTGAAATTGAGCATTGACACAGAAATTAATTATTATACGCACAATGTACATGCTGTTTCATAAGCATAATATTATTATAAAAAGGTCATAATCGAAAATGTACCTAATTCACGGTCACGTTACGTGTATCTACGCTGTATAATATGTTTAAATCCGTTGTAGGACGTAGGTAGACCGACATTAGATAGGGCTGTTGCTTTTAATTTCTATCTTATTCTATGTACAAAGTACAAACTACAAATAACAACGTGTGAGTAAAAACTGAACTGAAAAATATGTCTTCTCATAGGCAGACGCCTCTTATGGTTGTGAGTTAAGATAAAGCCGGACGTGGTTCGACCTTATTTTTCAAGACTGGTCTGGGGTCACGATAACAGTAATATATTATCTTTAATGTAATGCACCGCTTGTCAAGGCGAGGGCGACCCGGGGTCAAACAATAGGGATAGTAACTATGTACGCCGAATGTAGTAATTTGAATTTCTTTTCAGCGGCGCCGCCGGGACTTGGGTGGTCTACAAATTTGAATTACCCCCCCCCCCTAGCCCTCCGGCTATCAATCACCCAGTACCTATGTGCAGCAGACAATGCGTGGTGCTCTGCGGGTGCTCGATTGCATGGCACGCTCTAGTTGTAGTCATTTGTACTTCGTATACAGGTTCGCAGTGTTGCCGGCGATCGATAAATAATATGTGTACCGGCGGGTATGAGAGATATTAACGGTTGACGTTCGGACACACACTGTAAGACCTCATGTGCAATCTGCGTTATCATTTATCCGGCATTCTCGTATTAATTAAATTAAACATTCGGATTCACTAATATAATAATTATAAACATTGAAACTGCCTACTTGCCGGCAAAACACAATTTTCCGGTAGAAAGTCTGCAACCTATTTCCCGCTACTAAATTTCTGTTGTTTTTAACTTTTCTGAAATGGTCAAGTCGGGCCATAAAAAATTCTTGAAAAAAGAAAAATCCAAAGTCAAGTTGAAAATATCTCATAAGACTTTGTTGCCCAAAGGACAGAATGTGACGGACACGAATTTCAAAGTAAAGAAAATCGTACTGCAAGGCCAGTTGAGAGAACGCGGCGAGCATGAAATACTTTCCAAAGGCAATCTTAACATAAAAGCAAGTAACACTTTCGGTTCGAAATGTAAATTAACTTCATGGTGTATGGTTTTGTATAGGAATTGCTTACCAGACTCAATCATCACAACTTATGGCAAAGGCAGTCTGCACTGGAGGGTCTCAACGATCTAGTAGCGTTTTATCCACCACAAACCATGGCCGTCCACTTGTCTTCTTTTTTGGAAGCCGCGTCGCGTCTTACTCTCGATTGCGAGTCGGATATTCGTAAACTAGCTGTCAAATTATTGTCATCTGTGCTGTCGGCAGTCAATGAAGAGCAAGTAGCCCCTTCTTTCGAAATCGTCACTAGATATTTGGCCTGTGCTATGAGTCATATTAACTCCGCAGTAAGAGAAACTTCACTTAAAGTGCTTGAAGTTCTTATAGAAAAAAATCCAAAATTAACGGCTACTCATTGTCAGGTATTTTATTATTAGTTATTAAAAAGAAATTCACTAATTATGAACGTCGATTAATAGCTTACATTTTTTTATTCTTATTTTCAGTCTGTTGTGTTGCCGGGATTTTTAGATTTAATTTCATCGAAATTAAGTGATACGGGTTCTCGTAAACTTACTATTCAAATAAATGATCAGTCGTCCACGAGTGTATGGCGGTTAAAAGTGTTAAATAGTCTTCGTTCTTTATTGAGCGCTGTTGTTGAAAACACATCACAAGAATCTAAAAGTAAATTTTATAAAAAAAAATAGATTCTTAATACCTATTATTAAACGAGTCGTTATTACTGTTATATTACTTTGAATCGCATAATTTATACTTCATGCAATATGTCATGTTTGTCTATAAATGCAAATATTTCTATTTTAGTTTTTAAATGTATACAAAATACATTATAGTTATAAATATAATAATTTTTAATGACGTGTCTGGTATTTAGGTTCCGTTGTATTAAACAGAACAGTCAACTGGAAAGATTCTTGTCATCTGTGTGTTCCTTTGTACAATGAGCACAGTTTCAAAGTAGCTCCTTTAGATTTAAATATTAAACGAATGTGTGAAGTCAACTCTTCAATGAATGAAATTCAAGTATGTATAGTTTTCACTTGAACGTACGAGCTATACATTTTTTAATGAAAACTGTCGTGACTTTAATAGAAATACACTGTTTCATTAATGCCACTACTGATTGATACGTTTCTCGAAGTCGCTCCAGGAAAACGAGAAAACAAGAATAGTTCGGAATTATCTGTGCAAACTGTTTCAATTTTGAAATGCATTATTGAGATTATACTTCTCTTATGGAAAATCTTCCAACATTCAGACAACCCATCTGAACTAGTAAGTGTTGTTAAAATTAAGAATTAGAGTTTGTTCAATTTATTTATAGTTATGAAAACGTTGCACTTACACCAGTGGACTTAGAAAAAGCTATAAAAATACTAATTATGACTTATTATGATGATTTTTATAAAATAACTTTTTGTTTTTTAGTTAACGCAAAGTTAAATAATAAGAAATTTTTTTTTTCACATAAATTTTGTAATGATAGGACAAATTTTTTAATAGAGCAATATCTTAAGCTCTCGAGATAATGCTATGAATACAACTAAATTCAAATGTCTATTTTCAAAAAAAAATTTGCTATCCGAATTTACAGTATACCTACTTATATTTGAGCTTCAAATTTGTATTTTTTTTTTATACGAATAATTTCGATCAATAATAGTCTGATAACAAATATTATTAAAGAACGGTTAAGTATTGATTATTACTCTACTAAGAAAAATAAATTTAGTTTATCAATAACAAGTGTGGCGTTCTGAAGTAGAATATTAAGTAAAAGTAAATTTTTATAATGAAGTTGTAGAATAGGGTTTTTAATCAATTGGTAAATTTATTCATAATTATATTTCTAGATGCTTTGGTTCAGTGACAGTTACGGTGATAAAATATGTCAAACATTTTTTTCAACGGGCTTTCCATATTATATGCTCAACACCGGTGGTACAACAGATAAAGTCAAAAAACATAAGACTGACGCCGATGTTGTATTGGATTTATTTGGTGACAGTATGATACAAAATGATAGCAAGTGCACAAAACAAAATATAGACCTTTGCCTTGTATACTTGTTGCTCAGTAAATACAAAGTTTTACCTGTATCAATCAAAACAATATCAATCTACATTAACGGTATGGTTAATATACATAATAGAGAGAATAGTTAAAAATTAAATTTTTTTAATCATTTACGAAACGCTAGCACAGTTTGGTGTCGGCATAGGGTGGGTGGGAGAGGTCACAGATTCTTAGGAATTATAACTGAAAGCGATGATCACCTTCAAATAAACAATGATGCGAAACTGTAGTGGTAAAAACTTATAAGTATAAATAATTGTATAGACAATAAAGTATGTGTTTATAATAGTATAATTTGATTTTTTGGGGTTTCCTCAGTAAAAATATTTATCTTAAATATATTTAATAATTTTTAAAACTACAAAGTTACAATCTCTCTTACGTTTAACGTCCGTTATTCCTGCCGATCGGGGCTTAGGCGGTTTAGATTTGGCATTTTTGGGCTTATAGCTGATTGCCGACTTAACGCTACCAAACAAGTTGGCCCCAAAGAGAGGCGCAGGTGGCCATTTCTCCCCCAGGCAGTTGCTCGCCAGGAGAAACAAACCGCAAGTGACCGAGATTCGAACCGGCAACCATGGGTTGATACACTGCTGCCTTATCTCACTCTGCCACATGGCTGCGCTAAAAACTAAAAAGTTACAACAATTTTTTTTTTTTTTGGTATGTTTTGTTGATATATTGTTAACTCAAACAAGTTTTCGCTTTTTCTTCCCATTTTACAAAATAATTATTCAGTCTTAAAAATTAAGTTAATTCAATGAAAAAAAACTAATTTATATGTATAAATATACATATTTTTTCTAATAACTGTTGTCATTTTTAAAACCTTTTTCTAATACCTTTTGACCGTTGCATCATTCAAATAAAGTACCCAAGTTTAATATGGGGCGTATGTAATTTTCAAGTTTTGTTTTTTTTTTTAAAATAGTTTGACTAAAGATTCTTAAAATAAAAATGTATTTGTTGTAATTCCACTATAGATCTACCTCAGTCTAGTTTTCAGTCCTCAACAAGTTTTTACCCCTTCTGTAGGATAGGATTGAAAAGTGGTTGTAATGACATACAATCACATAATAGTAATATTGTAATAATATAATACCTTTCAGATCCACATCAAAGCTAACAATTGTAAAACCTAATCATAGACTTACTTAGTAGGCATAAATTACAGTACTTATAAAATGAAATTATAATTCAAACAATTAAACAAACCAAATAATTAACATTTTATTACATTTTTTTTTTATAGTTGAATTAATTTAATACTACTATTATTTCAAAAATGTTATCCCCTTTTTTTATGGTGATTGAGGTCGTATTTTCTATATTTATTTATAAATACAAAATAGTATTTGAATCCTATTTAAAATACACTATATAATATAGCTTTCTGCTTTAACCTATGTATTTAAAATACTATTTTGTATCTTTTAAAATAAATGTATTTTAAATTTGCTCATCTCTGGTTATTATACTAAACGTTTTTTTTTTGTAGATTTATTAGATTCCTACAAACAACTTGAACATCATTCATTTATCACACTTATGCATTGTTTGGAGGTCGTTCTTGACAATGGAAATGCCAATAAAGTCGATAATGTATTTGATTTGAACGCTGTTATTGACAAATTAGTAGGCATTCATAATGATATGGTGGTCAACGATGGACGACATAGGCATGAAAAAACTAAATTAGTGTTTAACTTTTTATGTTCAATTGCTTCAAAACCATATTTAAAAATGTCTGAACAGTAAGATAATTTTCTTAAATGTCTACCTAATACTGTACATATGTTGTTTTTTAAATTATATAGCATGCTAATTTATATTTTTATAGAGTCGAAGAATATAGCAATTGGTTGACTTTATTACCGGAATTTTTATGTCAACGTAGAGTACCTTATCATATAGTGAAGGCTTTATCAAATGTGGCCAGGTACAATTTACCGCAGTTTACCAAATCATTAAATTTATTGAAACCAGCTATTTTAGGTAAATAACAATAATTACATGCAATTCTTCTTATTAATTAAAAAATAGTGTATTTATAATAATTTGTTTAATACTTCTATAGATAACGTAGACATTATTGCGGACAACAAAGCTGATAAGATTGAAGGACAAACAATGTTAAAAGATATTATGTATACTGTATTCGATTGGGAAAAAGAAATTGGCCTTGTCTAATGTATTCCCTTCCAAATAATATACATAGCTAATGTTATTTTTTCCCATTTATGTATTTTTAACTTTTTGACCAAAACAAATTATAAAACTCAAAATTATATTTTCATTACAACTTTGCACACATAATGCCATGGTATCTTGGTAAATCATACCTCTTCCCACCTCAGACAGTATAATATGATGGTGCCCTTCATTCTTATTGTTTATATCTTAATCGTTTTTGAAAGAAGAGTAATTAAAATAATTTTGAATTTTAAGCTATCGTTTGTTGGACCATTCACCAATCATGCATATCAAATGTGCAGGGTCGTCCTGAGGCCTTTTGGGGCCTAGGACAACTAATGACTCAGAGACTGTATAAAAAATTGTTTTGCCTGTTCTATCACGTCTTACCGCCAACTTAATTAAACAATAATATCTAATATAACATTGTAAAAAATCATAATTTTAATGACGATTAAAATAAAAACTTAAAAAGAAGCAGAGATTGATAACATTTTTCAGCCAAAATTGAACTAAAAAAAAAAGCGGCAAGCAAAGAACTAAATGTCGCGTTTTATGGTAAATGGATTAAACAAAATACCTAGGCATGAAGTATGAACTTATATCGGCCACTAACTTAAAAGAAATACATTGATGTAATTAAACAAAAATTAAAAACTAGAAACATACGTACATAGAAAATTGGCTGGAACCAGTCATTTCAGCCGCTGATCACTACAACATTATGGTATGGTACTCATGTGTTCATGTCAAAAATGTCGATATCTACATAGGTGAAACTGAATTGACTAGCAAAGCGACATTTATGTGTATAGGCCATCCTATAAAGGTCCGTTTTCATTTTTACAGAACTAAATGTTACCTATTTATTTTGGCTCCGGATTACTCTGTTGCTCTCATTTAAAACATTTTGCATATTAGCTATATGTTATGTACTTATGCTATATAATATGCTATAGCTACATGCTTATTAGCTGATTCAAGAACCAAAATCAAAACTGTCGCTGTGAGGGAGGGAATGAATATTTGGAATGTGGTATTATACAAGCATGGCTTTTAAATTTAAAAAATGATTACAAAATAATAAAAAAACAAAAATTAAATTTTAATAGTGATAAAAATAAATAACATCAAAAATATATTTTTCAGCCTGGCTCAATTTTTTTTTTTAATTTACTTCATTTTAATTATTTAATTGTAAGATAGAGAAAAAACATAGAAAAAAAACTTTTAATAATTAATATATAAACATCAAAACGTTTTAACCACGATTATAGTAGATTAGTAAATAATCATGTTTTTAACTAATGAAAAATTAAAAACCGTATTCAATTTGATCAAAAAACTTACGAAGGATAATTTTAATTTTTGTTTTTATTTAAGTGTTCGATTGACGCCAACCTATTTTGTAAAAAGGGAGACAAAAAATAGCACAAATTGTTAGAAAACAAGTATTGGCTTATCCCTTAGGCGAATGTCTTACTTTACCGTGAATTTATTTGTTTCAATAAGTATGCTTATTTTTTTTTTAATTTGTATTCCATTATTTATGTATACATCATTGGAAATAATTTTTTCCTTAGAAATCCTTAGTTATGTAATACCTACCAATCTTTTAGAAATTTGATAATTCAATATTGGCAATTGCGACCAGTCATTATTTTTAATACCTAGAACATTTGTATGTAATGTATTATAATCAAATAATTATGTAGGTTGCCATTTGAAATTAAAAGGTTGATGGCAGCATACAATTTATAGCCAATTACGACAACTAGTGTATTACTGTATAATGAATTTATGTGTAGGTATCTTACATATAAATACATATTTTTTCTGTTTTTTTGTAGTTCCTAATTATTCGGAAACCAGATAAGGTTATCCTTTAATATGTTTAAAATATTTTATTAAAATACATCTAATAATCGTTTACCTACAGAAATAGGTATACAACTAAACCATAAGTTATTCAGACGAAGTACGAACAAATGTAACTAAACATGTTTAATATTATTTTGAAACGTAAGACAAAACACAAAATACATGAGTTAGGTATTACAAAACATTGTTCCGTCTGCAATAATAATTTTACATAAACTATGAATAATGAATATTATGACGTATATTATTCAGTTTCGATTATAATAATTAATATATAACGTGCCTACAACGTATGTGAATTTTAAATAATACAAAATAATTAACAGTATAAAGAAGACAATGTTTAAAATAAAATAATAATAATTTTGTATTTTTTATAAATATAATAATATATGTATCACTTACTCATTTTTACTTAGACATTTAATGCAACAATAATAAATTTATTATACAATACACATTTATAAATAATATAAAAGAGACATATTTATGATAATTTTAAAATAATGAAATAATAAAGAATAATATTTTCATTGTGTATATTTTAGTTATTAGTATTTTTTTATTCCAGAAGATTGAGGGTGCTATTAGTTTTTCTTAATTGAGCTCTCCACGGTATGATCTTGGCGTCTTCTTCGGGTTCGTCGGCACAAGCATTCTGTTGTGTAACTTCAGGCTTCTGTTCGGATTCGATCGACTCCGTTGGATTGTCATTTTCCTTGTTTTGTCCGTCTGGCTGAGGCAATGTTTCGGCGAATGTCACTTTGGAGGAACCGACAGGTTTCCCTTGAACTACAGTCGGTCTGTAAAATATTCACAGTCAGATCTTAGTGATTATATTTTGGAAAATATCAAAACGCGGTAGTTAAGAACAGTTAAGCTTAACACTAATATAGATATATGTACAACACGGCGAAAATGAAAGCATTTAAAAATCAAGATCGGTCACGGCGCGTGAGCAACAACTAGTCACTTTTTCTTTTACTTTATTTTATACGTTTTCGGTGGACCGGATTAATGAGAATTTCAACGATCTAACGAATTTTTATTCGAATATTACCACAATAATAATCAAACTTGTTAGTAGATTAAGTGTATTAAAATGGATTTCTGTCTACGGACCGCGTTTATCTCGACTAATTATTATGTTCTACTTTTGACACTCTGCATTCTTCTAGATCAAAAAATCATTGTTCGCGAATATCGTACCATGACGGGGAAATAATTTCTACTAATTTCATAACGAGTAATTATCAAATATTCCACTCTGGCGCGTGCACCACACTCACCTCTCGTCGTGTTTACTCTTGTTTTGCATCAGTTGCCGTTTCCAAGGCGGCAAAGCCTGTAAGCGTTTTTCCTCCGCTTGTCTGTTCAATTCTTCTTCCATGTCTTTGCGAGCTTTTTCCGCCGCTTTCTTGGCCATCATCTGTCTTTTCCACGCGGGTATTAAGTTACCGTTGCCGTCTTTTTCCGGAACCTAAAAACACAATCAATAAAGCCGCAGATTATGATCGTGCTATCCATTATACTAATAATGCACATTGCGCAGTAAAAAAAAAAAGGAAGTCGACATAAATCTGGCGAGCAATTGTTCAATTCTAAAGGGTTTTGACTTTAAGAGGGTTTCGTCAAAACGTTTCGTATGACACTAGCGGATGAATTGCAAATACTGGGAATTTTTTTAAACGTTAAAATACATTCGTTTCAGGAGAATTCTACAACTCTCGACGACAGTACGCAGGCTCGGACAATGCCGTAAGTGCGCCAGATAAAATATTATTTTACAACGATTTACCGGGACTATCCGTCAAATATGAAACGACACGTCACGGCTAATGCACACGCTGGATTGTAGACGATGCGACGGCGATCAGTGGTAGGTATACGGTATACCTACCATCATTACACGGCAGAGTGTAGAAAGAAAACCGACAACGAAAACAAGAAACTACATACATATAAGTAATTTTTGAAATGCCAATAAAATGCAATACCTGTTCGATAATGTTGTCGGGCGACAGTTGTTTGGCGATCTGGTCGATTTTTTGTTTTTCGCTCATCTCGTCTAATTTGACCTTTTCCACCTTCATTTTCTTTATGCCGGTTATGTCTCTGGACATCTTCAGCTCGGCAATCAGGTCTTGTCTTTGTGCCTGTAGCGGTGATACGGCTCCACCTATGTAAATATCGGATGCGAAATTAATACACGGGGCCCACTCACGAGTAATACCATTATCGTTGTTGTTATTATACACGATCAGTGGGTGAAAGCAGAGAAGAAAATTATATTATATTATTATTGTAGTGCGTCCGAACATGCGGTTAACACGCGTCTAATTATACGCTATTGTCGGTCTTTATATTATATTTTTAATGTTATTATAACGTCAACCGAAGCGTGAATTATCGTCTTAGCGGAAAAAAACCACTCCGAATGTGAACGTGCTGATGCAAAATGAATTTTAGTTGCTGCCGCGATACAGTTAAATCCGAAGCCGGTTACGGATTTCCGAACTCCCTTTATCCTTTAACTTTAGAAATGATTGCTTATTATTATACAAAAAATCTAGTTTGATCAAATTATATCGAATAGTTACATCTTTACATTTTTAAACAATTGTTCAAGAAGGTTTTTATAATAGTTACTCCATACATATTTTTTAGTTCCTCCTAATTGAGTGATACTGGATTCGAAATTAAATTTTAGAAAGTTTAACATTTTTCAAATAATTTTATGAAATAAAAGTAATTTATTGGTAAAAAATAGTAATGCCTATGTAGTTACCAAATAATGAAATTAATGATTAAATAGTCTGAACAAAAAAAATATATAGTTGGTACACAATAAATGTAACATTGGAATAACTAAATAAATAGTTGAACAACTAAATATTTATTTAAAAAAACTATTTATTTAGTTATTCTAGCTATACATTTATTGTGTCCCTATATTAATCATAATTTTAGTTGATACAACTATGTAATTTTTTTGCGTGTGAAACGTTTATACTTTGGGAAAACGTATTCAGTTAAAACGCAATAACGTCATTGTTAGTTCAAAAGACGCCTTGAAATTTTAAAACGATTATACTATAACCCCAGTTGAAAAAAACCAGATTTTGAAAAAAAATCACTTTAATTATTAATTATTTATATTAGACCCACGAAATGTTTGAAGTGAAATGCGATAATATTTTTTTAATCTTTGAGGCTGTTTTACGAATTGAAAGTACCGACATTAACTACAAAATCATACTTAAGTCTGAAATTCTTTTGAAAAATAGTAGTTCAGAAACAAATTATAAACATTGAACGTGTTTGAATTTGGTTTGCGGAATTAATTTTGGGGCTACGCAAAAATGAAAGTTATGCGTTTGTTAACCGTTATGTTCCTACTGTCCGTGGGAATAGTCTGAATTTAGTGTTGGCCGTTTCGTAAGTAAGGGTTCACGAAATTAATAAACAGAAATGTAATAGAGAGACGTTAAACTTTAGCGGAACGCACGAAGATGAAAACACCAACCCACACATGCTCACGTATACCCAGACAGTAGGCCATAGACAGGTACAACAGGTTTACTATTACATTAATTGTACAGTAGTGAAAGTGGTTCATCATAAATATGACGTGCGTCATTCTATACAGGGTGTTCTTTACGTTTTCCCAGCTGTTAATTCGCGGAACCATTAAAGTATTTTACCAGAATGCTGTAGGTTGTAAGGTAAATTCTATTTAATTTGCGCTCTACTGGTTATCGAAAGTCATCTCGAGATTCAAGGCTCCTAAGCTACATGCTCTGGTTATCGACTTTAGGCATCCTAAATAGGTATTGAGTGTGTTACGACTCTCACGGGTTTAACTATAAGCTTGATCATTTTTCCTGCTAAGTATAGTCACGACAGTGGAGTAGAGACTTTGTCTCTGTAGACAAACCCTGCGATGGGTTCTAAATGTCAGCTAGCAAATGACAACATGAATAGATCTGAAAATGATCATGCTAATCCTCGACATTGTTTTGTTTGTTACAGTATTATTTGAAATATCACTACATAGTCATAGCATAGTCATTAGTCAGATTGTTTTAGTATATTCGATTTAGACCATTTGGTACCTACATCATAAAAAACATAATATCAATTAACCTGAATGAACAATTTTAACGAATTTGCAAAATAAGTACACTCTGGTTTAAAATATGAGTAGGTGCAATTACACACGTTTTGACATTGAAAAAAAAAGAAGCAATATCCTATTAGAGCTCAAAACACACTCGTTTTTTAAATGATATAAACATCCTGTAGGTACAGTAATTATGATTGATATTTTCTTACCGGACGATTGTTGTCTGTCCCCGTTGTTCATGGTGATCTTGATCGTTCCCGGTGTTTTCTTCAACTGTACGCTATGCAAATCGTGTATGCTGATGGCGGCCAAAGGCTGTTGCTGTTTGTTGGTTAATTCGGATTTAGTCTTTTGCAAAAGCGGGACGGACGATCGCGAACCCGCCGTCACTTCTTCCCCGGATCCGGTGGAGGAGCCGATGCTCTTCAGGTATTGCGACGGTTTGATCAATCCTCCGTTGTCGTGGGCGCCCGACTGAGGGAACTTTGGCGGAATGAACGGCAACGGCTGCTGTTTTCCGGTCGAGGACACTGGAGTTTTGGCCCCACTGCAATCGTCTCCTTCTTCTGTGGCATACGCGATTAAGACAATTAATACAGAACCGGCTAGCAAATTAATAGCGCGTGTTAAGTGCTTAAAACGCTTTTTGCACACACACACACGCAAGCGCAGGTACTTGGCACCATGGCGCCTCGATAGTGGGCGAAAGTGACGGCTACAGGTGAAAACACACACAGCCCGCGTCCACTAGCGTGTAATTTTATTTGATTTTTATTGTGTACCATTAAAGTTAATTAATTGAGTCTGACAGGTAATATCATATTATGAGTAATTACTAATAAGGTACTAAAAAAAAAAAAAAAACGTGTGCCACGTCATACTCACTGGTCTGATCGTCAGATCCAGAAGACGAATCGTTGCGGTACACGTACACCGGATAGAAGTTGGTGGTAGGCGGTGGCGGAGGCGGTGGTGGTGGACACGAGCCCGTCGCCGGCTCAGAAACCACCCTTTTCAGCGGAGCCCGGTCTTTGTGCGTCTGGTGGTGGAGGTGTTGATGGGCTGGGTGCAACGGTAGCGTGTGATGGTGATGCCTCGTCCCGGTGCCAACCACTTCGGGGTCCGAGTCTTCGGCCGAATGGCTCACGTCCGAAGGTGAACCGCTCGACACTCCAGACTCTATAATATTTTTTATAACATAGACATAAGTAGATAATATGTTAAAACAATAAAAATAAGTGGACCGTGGAGGTAGACGTTGTGTCGAGAGCATCCAGTAGTCTCAAATGTGGCTTTTCAGACCTCATATGCGATTAGAGCGTGCAGTGAATGAAGCCTATGAAACTGCGCTGCTTAAATTCATTTTTAAAACTAGGTTTCTCTTGTATACATTTTTACAATCTGTTGTTATTCGTGTAGGTTAATATGGGCGAAAAAATTTAAATGTGACGTCGGAGTATAATAATTATTGACTGATATTTAATAACATCATAAGCGTGTGCAGTCTTAAATCGCAGAGTATGTAGCCAATTAAATAGTAGGTCCATTAACTATAAGTTATAAGAAAAGTAATGAAAGTTTGACCTATTAGTAGTGGTTCAAAACATACTTAATTCGGTTTTTCTCCATCAGCCTCCCACGTATAATTTGAGAAATTAACAGTTTTATAGTTAGCGAATAATGAAGGATAGTAATATGACATTGTTTTTTATTATATCAATACTCCCCGAAAATATGTTGGTGAAGTCTAAATTGTGTCGGTGGTAGAATTCGCGTTAACCTATCCATCTAAGCTTTGATGAGGCCCTTTCTGTTGGCGACTGGAATTTCCTATAAAAGTGGTTAATTTGTTTTTGAATGAACAGTCACAGCTGTTTCATTAAAAGATCAGTACAAAAACTTTTTGGAGCTAACTAAATCAACTACTCATATAGTTTAATTAAACGACACTTTATTACATAATATGAACAAATATAATTTAAGATTAATTATTTGAAAATACTTATAACTTATTCGTTTTATAATTATAACAGGAACAGTATTATAACAGTGTATATTATGTTTACAAAATGTACTATAATTATTAGCTTCGTGTTTACTGTGTAATATTAGATTGAATAGGGTTTTCCTACGATAACTTAAACCATTCATACACAAACACTCGATTTAAAGTACTTTCATATCTATTCAAATGTAATTGTGATTATACGCCAAGGTCGTCGATTTTATTTTTTCACGTCTTTTAAAGTAAAATAATTATTGTTACCATACATTTTAGAATGTTACTGTTATTAAAGTCGGAACACGTATACTATAAAATGTAACGACTAGGAAACAGCATTATAAACAAAGTAAACCACGTGCCTTCTGACATTACTGTCATTTGAAAATGATAAATTATACGTCTTTAGAAGTCATGAAGTAATCGTTAATATTAGTATAACAGGCAATAGACATTTTATTTTCTTGGAGTAATTATTTATACATTATAAAGATAGTTATCGGGTACGACGTACTGTTCATTTTAATAGTTGCCTAATCATATCCTACAAACAATCGCGGTGTCTTTATAGCACAGAAGTACACTACAAGAGAGAGTATTTCCTGTTAAAGTTTTATTATAAGACTATACCTACCGTAACCGAGAGATGTTCTCTAACCGATCGCGTTAACCGATTATCGTAGCGTTAACGTATCTTATCTATAACTAGTAAAGTGTTAACGTAAATACCATTATGTAAAAACCGCGAAAATCGTGTACACCCGGACTGTGCACAAAGTGCAACATGATTTAAAAGCAACAAGACGTGTTCACTGTGCGGCCAATACAATAACTTTCTAATTAATTATAGCATATCTAACAAAAAAAGTAGATTGCAAACCCTCGTATCTCTGAATATAACGTACCTGGCGTCAACTGTCCCGCAGATTCGTGACACGAGACGATCATGTGGGTCGTTTCTGCGACGGCCGCGTGAGTGTGCATCACCACGACGGTAGAGGAGGTAGGGCCACCGCCGCCGCTGCTGCTCGTGGAACTCATGGACCCTGACCGACTGTGGCTGCCAGAGTCCCGGCTGGGACTCTTGGACTCCTTGGGGTGATTCCTGTGCCGTTGCTGGATCTCGTATATGTCCTCGTAGTCGTTTTCGCCGGTTACGGTGCCGGGGTCGCTGCCCCTGTCCGACGACGACGAGCTGAGGTTCTCGTCGGATCCGGCGCCCGAGCTGCTACTGCTGTGCACTTCCACTTTTACTGGAAAATCAACATGGCAACAAAAACGCACTGTGTTAGTAGAGCTAGACTTTCTTATCGCGTTCGAGTAGAGTTCGGTGTACCAGCCGGCCTGTCCGAACAGCTCGGCCACGTCTAGTCGGGCTGTCTCAGCTTCGGTCGCGATGCCCGAAGACGTCGATGACCTGACCCGCAGTAGTCGGCGCCAGACTTGGACGGCACAAGCCGCGTTGGTGTCGGTTAAGACCATAGCGTGACGTCTACCTACTAAGCTACTCTTAGCCTATACGGTTATTTGTAAGCTATGGCCAGCGATATGAACTTTAAAGAAAACCTCGAAAAATCGCTAAGAACAATGTTAAGGCGGATGTGCTGGTAAACGCATGATTATGATTTCAACGCAAAGAAATAAAGTTTCTATTCAAACGCGAAGGACGTCGAGATGCGTACTGACGTTTCGACTACCTATTGGAATAATTTGATGAGTATCGAGGACACTTATGTCATCGTTACGCGGACGATAAAAAATTTAACATAATAGGCGATAATACGTTTCGAGTGCTTTAGTCGAAGCCACGATAAACCGATTTATAAAAAAATATATTACTACTATTATTATTATTATTATTATGAAACTGATAGATGACAAAATGTGTGTAATAATAGAAATACGTGAGAAATATAGTGGCCGGGATGTAGCGTGTGACGAATGTGTGTAGAAATCTCTTACCAGTCATGGTATTGAGGCCGATGTTCGGAGGAGGAGGTGGCGGCGGAGGAGTCGTGATAAACGACGTGGAAGACGGTTTTCCGGCTGCGGGCGATTTGATAAATATGTCCTTCACCGGGTCATCGGTCACCTCGTTTGGACCGTGCAGGTAAAACGGACCTTGGGGTTTGTTGCTGCTGTTGTTATTGTTAACGTGGTGGTGGTGGTGGCTGGTGACGACTTCTGTCGCTGGTGGCGGAGGAGGTGGCGGAGGAACCACCTTTGCCGTGGACTCGTTTGCCGGAGGAGTTTTGTGCTGCGGTTGTATCGGCTGTTGCATAGGGTTCACGTAAAGTCCATCCTTGACTCCGATCTTACCGCGACCGGATCCGTTTAGCGGTTGGTTCTGTGACGGGGGATGAAGGTAGAACGGTTCTTGACTTTTTTTGTAGTTAACGCAGTCGGCAAACGAACACTATAAAAAAAAACAATCGTGCCAACCAAGTTGATCAAAATCGATAGAAACGTCTCTAGAATCTAAACAAGACCATTTAGGATTGTATTGAAATCACTAATTTGCTAAAGAATAGAAACTTTTTTTTAAAAATTGGACCAGTGTCAAGGTACTTGAAAAAAATGAAAATAGAACTGAAAATCTAATAGAATTGTAAATCGAGATATGAATCAATTGACATTGATTTAAGTCGCTAGACTTCAGTTAAGTTATAATAAGTGTTTTATCGAAGTTTTGATAGCAATGATTGGACGTTTTGAGATCGCACATTATTTGTCAACCTCGAGGATTTCGTTTTGAATATATTTCGCAGTATCGGTAGGCCGTATTATGGGGTTGTTGTAGAATTTTGTGAATATTTAGATGAAATTGGCAATGGCATCGTTTCCCTAACCTAACCATCCTAATCGGTTGAATTTACTGACCACGGACCATATATCAACATAAATAGCGTAACAGCAGTCCGGCATATTAATCTTATAAAATGTATGGCTCATTAAAGTCAGGAAGCTAAACGAAATCCGTTGCTCTTTCGGAATACGATATTTTCCCCTTCGAGTAGGAAGTACCGAGGCGGGGCAGCCTTCACACGCATTCGACATGTAACAATGCAACGCCGTTTCAATTACGTAGACGGCGTACAATATAATACATCAAAAACGTCAGAACATAATATTCTTACGGGTTACTGTGCTATAGGTGGATTAATGAAATATCTAGAAGCTATTCCATGACCATGTAGAGGATTCCTCTTAATAGAGTGTAGTGCAATCATAATATTATTATTGTTATTCCAAAATATTACGTCACAAAAAAAATCGACCGAAAACAAGATATCCGTGTTATATATCAGTCGTTTGTTCGACTATTAAGTATATATTATATTGTATTCCGTCGTAGTCAATTGTGCGTTAACCCCGTTTAAAAAAATAGTAAAATAAAACTCACTCGCTGTTTCGGTTCTTCTTTACGACAAGTACATCCCAACAGTCTACCGTTTTTTTTCTCGTCGTGATAGTCCGGCATGGTACCGTGTTGCACCAATATGTTCAAACACTGTAAAAAAAATATAGCGTACATATTATGTTTTAGATATTTTTCAAAAAAACGTGTATCCAATTGTATTTGAAACGAATACTTCGAAAGAGGGATTAGATCTTCGTCTCGTCATAGACGGATTTCTTTATAATAGATCATCGGTGTCTGTACTGTTACAATTATTATTATTACAGCAGGCATATTATAATATATAATATTTATGAATTATAAATATACATGGAATTGTGTAATTGCTAGCCGAGCGTGAAGTAAAAAGTGACGGCGATAATTGATTCTCAATAATATGCCGACCTTTCGCATTTGAATTTTTTTCATTACATTTTGGGGCATGTTATGAAACGTACATAGTAGTCGGCGGAAAAAAAAATCATAATCTGTGACACAAGAGAAAAAGGCGTGCTCGTTTGTCGTATGTTGTATACCGTTGCGTCATGAAGAGAAAATGCGTTATTCAGAGCTGACAAAACACGAGTTTGGGCGTTTATGTCAACTCTGGCCAAAGTTGTTGAACTTTCTTGAAAGTATTCACTTTATCCTGAGCCATAAATATGCCAGTGCTCGCTGTGTTCGTTTATCAAGGTCGCCGAGGTTATTGGAACGGAAATTCAGTGGAGCAAACCTGTAACGACTCGTTGTTAATTTCACCGCGATTGGCTATTCCTCGGACGGCCGGCTGGCCTTGTTGCGATGCGCCTGTTCGGTGATCCGGAAAAATTCGACAAGGCTAATTAGGTTAACTAGGCTAGCAAAATATAATTTTCGTATTTTTTTTTCTCCCGGTACTTATTGGTATCGGTTCCTCGTGTAAGCCGATCGTAATTAGGTATATGACCGTTAAACGCGCAACGGGTAAACACCGAAAACGTCTGGCGACCGTAAAATCGATTACTCTACCCGATAGTTAAAGAAAAAACCCAGTCGCACACTATTAATGCAATGTTTTTATTTATACACCGGTTAAGTTATACGATAACCATTGTTATGGTACTTACCTCCATTTGATGGTTTTCGGCCGCGTCGTTTATCGGGCTTTTGCCATACTTGTCCACAACCAGGTTGGCGCCGTGCCTCAAAAGCCATCGCACCGTGTCCACGTGACCTCTGCTGGCTGCGAAGTGTAGCGCCGTCGCGCCATCACCGTCTCTCAGGTTCGGGTCGACCCCTTGATCTCTGACCTGAAATCACGCGCACACACACACATATTTACTAATAACATTCGATATAATGACCAAAAACAAAAGCTTCAACCGTCAAACGTGCGGATATAATTGGACCTGCCTAACGGGGTACGTTTAGGCTAAATTCGTTAAAAAAAAAAAAAAATGTCTAGTTAGTAATATACTTTGGCCTAATATGAATCGTTTTGCACCTTTTGAACATGTGAACATTTTCAGTTGAAAGCTTTTAAAGGGTAGGGTGTAACCATGGTTGAAATATACAACTTATTGCACGTCGCGTCGTCTTGAATAGTTATCTTCAGAGACAAAATGGCAGCGTAAGGGTACATCAATATTACTATATACTTCACTATTACTACATATTTTACTATATACTTATATATTAGATTTTGATTGGCTTTCCTTTACGCTGACATATTTGTTTTTATCATCGAATATTTGATGAAGAAGGAGTATATGAATATGTGCAATAACCTTGTATGGAGTATACAAGGGTATATAATCATGGGTGTATTAGTGAGTTGTGAGTAACGAAAATAAGAAACAAAACTAGTGCGTCGTAATAATATTATGATGTGTTAATAATGATTTAAAAACGATCTAGATATGAAATGGTAGACTTGATTAATTAACTTTCTAATACGCTTACTCGTTTATAGTTATGTATTTTAATTCTTAGGAAGACATCAGATATTGACGGTTGTTTATTTTGAAGCGCTTAATTATTTTTAATAGTAACGATTATTTCAATCAATTATATTTTTAAAGCACACGACTCACCATCCATTTCAAACAGTTGAGACAGCCCATTTGCGCGGCTGCGTGTACGGGTGCCATACCGTCCTTAGCCCGGACGTACAACGATCCACCGGCCTCGAGTACAAGAAATTTGAGTACTTCTAAGTGTCCCTCTTGAGCGGCCAGATAGACGGGCGTCACGTCGTTGTCCATTTGGGTGTTTGCACTGCAATTATAAATATACATTAGTCATAGTGATTAGTCATTACATTACACATGACTAATTACATTATCGTTAGTTGGAATCATTAATCGTAGAATATTAGATCAAATTTGTAATATTTGCTAAGTATTAAGTTTAAAAGTAGTTCTTAAACTTTTTCTTTTTAAGTGTATCTTTACGTGAAGAGTAAAACGTTGAATAAAATCACTAGTCTTTTAGCTATAGCTAGTTAGAAATGTATGTGCTACACGTATCAGAGAACACATTAGTTCTGAATGACTTCTTAAAAGCTATGCACGCATATCATATTATAAAAACATTCTGTAATAACTGCACGAGGATTCAAACTTAATCGTTAAACTGCTTTTACTTCGGGACCTCCAAACGAGTTTTCCCAGTGGGACTCAGTGTTCTTGTTTGAAATATAAAATCAAAACAAATTTAGTGAAATGCGAGTAGTTAAATTAAGTGTTTCGAAGAAAGACAAAAAAAAATGATACATACGCCTACTTAAATGTTTACAAAATAAAACATTACTATAGAAGAAATATTTAATTATTCCATTGTTAATGAATTATTAAAAAAAAACCTATATTCTAGAAATCAATTGATACGGTATGAATTGTTGTGCGTTTTTTAGTAAAAAAGTGAGTGTTGGACACGACTGCAACCCCTTTACTTTAATCACCTATGATTTGTTTGTATTCTAGACACCGTTTGTTTGACAGTTAAACATTTTTTTACATACTACAATTATAGAGAAATCTCTTGGATGGAAAAGAGGACCAATTTCTCAATTCTGGCCATGCTAAATGTGGAAACAAGACTGGCAGTGGTGTGTAAGCAGAGGATCCTAAGGTTCTTTGGCCACATCATAAGAAGGGATGGATCGAGCCTGAAGAAGCTGATGATCGAAGGAAAAAGGAGCCGTGGGAGAACACCATTGCGTTGGATAGACCAGATCAAGACTATCTCTGGCTATCCCCGGGAAGAGGCCATTCGATCGGCAGAAAACCGAGAGCTTCGGAAAGAAATTGTTGCCAAAGTCAACTGAGGGGTCACCAAACTTCCGTTTTTGGAAGATGAACTTAAGAAGAGAATAAGAGTGAGCATGTTGTATTCATTTGTTTTTAAAATGAACTCCGTGTTGTTGCTCGCCTGGGAGTATGGTGAAAATAATTGTGAAAGGGCGAAAGCACCAGCGCACCGATTTGAAAAGAATGAGTAATTGCCATTACAACACGAATACAGAACACGCCGATTGTGTGTACCTATAGTACATTCGGACACATTTGCGGTGGTAGGTTGTTCTGCGAGGAATTAATTTGCACGAGCGCGGTGGTCTATTCATTGATATAATAATATAATAATTAAAAAAGTGAAACATTTCTAATGCTTTTCGCGAACGTTCTATTGGCCTTTACATTCTAATTTAGTCGGGATCCACTGTGACGAAATCTAATTGTCGACGCGACGATGGGACGACATCACGGATTTCTATAAACAACTAACTGTTTATAAATAATACATAAAACAATTACGTTTACTTATAGTTAAAATATCAAATTTCTATTTCAAAATCAATATATATATATACATATATATATTTATTAACCAGTTAACCGTTAAATTTTATTAGATTAAAAATTGATTGTTATTTATCTTGTACTTGTAATCGTGTTTTTGGTTTTATATTTTCTAAAAAAAAAAAAAAAATGTATGTTATAGACCACACTTAGCATCTCCAACAGCATAATTTTGAAATCTCCATTTCTAAAACTACGCCTAAAAAGTAAAATAAAGAAAACTCATTTTCTATTCCTTATTAAAAAAATGGTAAATGCTATTTGCGTGGTTGTTGACTGTACATCGGTAGTACTAGACCAAAAGAATATACCACACAAGTTTATGAAACTAATTCGACTATTTTTCAACAAGTTACAGCACGCTGTAATTGAACACATAAACACAAAAGTGGGTACATACACACAAATAGAAAATGTACATAAAATGTTACAACACAAATTTGAATCTTTTATGTTAATACTGAATAAATGTCATTTCTATCAAGCCTGTTTATCCTATACCTGCTATGTAAGTCTGAGATGTGATATTTATTCAATATTAACAGAATCAATTAGTTATCGTCATAAAAACAGCACTTGAATTGCGCAAAAGCTAATGTTCAACAAATTAAATACGAAATTTATGAAGTTTGAACAGAAGTAAGTAATATCATTCCAATAAGCTAACTATAAAAAAAAGTTATAGTAAAAATTTGTATTTTATAATTGAGAACATTTTTGTTTCTTGTGGTTTTCCTTAATATTTAAAAACTTTACACATCTACTTCATTGTCATCATAATTATTTTTTTGTATAGATTTATAAATAAATACAAAATATGTGAAATAGTACGAATAATAAAAAACCATAGTATTACAAATGTATACTTAGATTATACACAAGTTACATACATTGCGATTCGGTTGTCACGCGTTTATTACACACTGGAAAAGAGAAATTTTAGCCTTTAAGTAAAATTCTTTAAAATGGACGTAGAGTTGTGCAATTCTTATTCGAAGAAAACGTTTTTCGGTAGAATTTTTCACAATTTATTTGAATAAAGAATAATAATAATCATATTATTCTAGCATAATTGAATAGTAAATATATAAGTGAAAAACATACACACCCCTATAAAAGGTGATTTTTACACAATGTAATATCAATTTTTTAAAAAACAAAAAAAATTCCCTATGTTATATATATATATATATATATATATATATATACATATTCGGATAATGTTTACTTAATCTAGATGATTATTATATAGACAACGTTTTATCACCTTAAATAAAATACATTTTAATGATAAACGATTACTTCGAGAAGTTTGTTCGAGTTTTCTCAAATAATTGTAATTTAATAAGATAAAAACGCACCTTTATATTATTTTTATATTCGCCCCGCTGTTGATATAGGAGTCATTGACAAAACTGTTTTGTCACCTATTCAAGTGTAGATTTAGGTAGACAACAATGTTGATTACTTACTAGTCCGTGTCAAATGACTACCTACGCACCATGTGAGAGGTGAATGGACATTAAAATGATAATGTGTACTGTGTAGTCTGTGCAACCTAATGGGTCGATGCAATGTACGATGATTGACGTGACTGTCGCGAATACGGTAGAATTTAGGTTCGAAGCGAGGGCTGCTCGCGATTCAGGTGCGTTATTGTTCAGGTCGAAAAATCAGGTTAACCGATTCAAAATAAAGTCAACAACGCGGCTGCTGTGTAACACGCTTGTTGACTAGATATGAATCGTTCGATTTTCGGCTGTGTGCAAAATAAAGCGTGATAGTTAAGCTGTTTAAAAAGGAAACAGTCGGAAATAAATCATTCAACGCTCGGTAAAGGAAATAAAATTTGTTTGTGTGGACAATTTTTGCACAATTGCCGTTCATTATATACCTTATACACCTTATGGCGGGCATTAGTCGTGAAAAAACACAATTAAACTCACAGAAACTCGGTCAGAAAAATAAAAATCATAATTGACACTGACGTCACTATGTGCTTCAAATTGCTGCCGTGTAGTGTATCCACGACTAGTGTAAAAGTACACAATATGTCTTGTGCGACGACAATGCGTTCTCGTTAGTTTGAGTGCGCTCATATAAAAAATAATAATAATGAATATTATGAATTATTATTATACAACGACTCTATGGCTGCTACAGCGAGAACGGATGCAGGTCGTGACTGTGTCGTGTCAAAAATAATACCCTCTATTATTCACCGAACCACGATCACATTACCGTAGTCTTAGCACACTAATTATTTTGTATTTTCCATCTGTAACGGTGGAAACATTAAAATGTTTGCTCGCAGAGTAATTAAATGTACAGTTATCGCGCGTACAGTCATCCGTCCGGTGACCGAACGACTGAATTGCATCGGCGTACGACTTTGGTTCTCATACGCATAACGTTATGCCCAAGTAATTTCTTGGTATTCTAATCGTTTAGTTTATTAAGTGGATTGTTTTCTAATTTATTATTGTTTTACAGCTGCTGTTTTGTAGCATTACATATTATGTTAGATTTAATTCGTCTTAAGGAATGGAGTTGTTTGTAATATTCCATACATAAAAATAAAACCGTGAGCTCGAAAAATGATCATTATTAATACGGCGGTAGGTAAATCTTACATGCAATAGAGGCGTTATTTCAATATAACAAAAATACGAGTTGCATCATACGCGAATAGTAGTCTTTAATATAATCTTTAAACCTCATGTAAGAAGAGCAAATTTGTATCTATTGTGCATTGAATAAGACTTTGCTTTATTACAAAATGTGTCTAGTGGATTGTAACTTGGTGGACTGTATTTTCAAGGCGCACTATATTTTAGATTATAATATGAACAAAACGACACATTTGAATGGAAATTATTTTAAAATTATTCAAATGGTACTAAACCGTTTTATAGGAAACATTTTGTACCGGTACCAAATAAGCAGTAGGCAGAGTCATGACATAATTAGTTACATACAATATCAATCAATTAATGTGAAGTGGTCAAAATAACTATTTTATACCGTATCGTTTTACTTTTGTTCTCCTTCAAGAAGTTTTAATCAAAATTTCTAACTTAACCTTTCGTTGGCGTATTGTAGCAAATACACGGAGATAAATTAAGATTTACTCATCAACCTAACGAACTAATTGAAATGATTTAACAACATAATATCTACAAAGCTCAAACTTTTCATGAGTTGACTTATCAGGTTGTGATAAATCGATTGTAACCACTTTTGTACAGCGGTAAGCATATGTATAATAAGAAATTATATAAAGACTATTCGCATCTCGCGGGATAATTTTAAGTATATAATGCATTGGAAAACGTCCGTTCAGATAACGCAGTAGGTCGCCGGCGGTGACTATAAGAATAATAATTGATGTTATAATACAAGATAATATAAGTTAGT